CAACTACCAGACGAACTGCTGCAAGAGGCGGCGAGGAGCGAAGTGCTCGACGATCCTCTTTGAGGCGGGACAGGCGGCCACTCGGTCGGAGGCCCTGAAGCATCCCTTCCAGACGGTGCTCCTCCTCCCCGGTGATCGACAAAAATCATCTTCAGAGTTTACCTCTTCTTCTAAACAAGCTGGACAGCAGCTCTACTCTCGCTGCATCAACTTCCAGCGCGCTCACGCCTGTCCCCAGTGCGTCCTCGGTCCCCGGGCGGCGATGAACCGCCAAACCGCCTTCCTCGATGCGAGCCTCGTTTACGGGACCTCCGAGGTGGAGGCGGCCAGCCTCCGCCTCCACAAGGACGGCCTCCTCCGGGTGGCCCGGGACAGCAGTCGTTCGCCGATCCTCCCAGGAGCGCCGCCCTCCCCGGAGACGACCTGCAGCCCGGTGGCGGGCGTCGGCGCCCAGCGGTGCTTCGTGGCCGGCGACCGCCGCGTCAACCAGCACCCGCTTCTGGTGGCCATGCATACGGTCCTGCTGCGGCGGCACAACTTTCACGCCTCTCGGCTGAAGGCGGTCAACTCAGGCGGCGGAGCCTATGGCGGCGGTGGAAAGCCGTGGAGCGATGATCGGCTCTTTGAGGAAGCTCGCCGCCTGCTGATCGCCGAGCTGCAGCACATCACCTCCGGGGAGTACGTCCCGTTCCTCCTGAGCCCCCAGCTGACGGCCCATTATGGACTGGGGCCCCTTTCCTNGGAAAGCCGTGGAGCGATGATCGGCTCTTTGAGGAAGCTCGCCGCCTGCTGATCGCCGAGCTGCAGCACATCACCTCCGGGGAGTACGTCCCGTTCCTCCTGGGCCCCCACCTGACGGCCCACTACGGGCTGGGGCCGCTTTCCTATGGAAATGGTTATACAACTTATCAGCCAGCCACCAACCCCTCCATCAAGGCGGAGTTCAGCATCGCCGCCCGCTTCGGCCACTCGCAGATTCGGGACACCTACCGGGCCGCCTCCCCCGGCTACCTCAACACCAGCGCCTGGGCCCTCGGCGACAACTTCTTTGAGCCCGGCTTCGCCTGGGCCGCCCTCACCGATGACCTCCTGCGGGGGGCGGCCACCGACGCCTCCGGCGCCATCGACAACCACTTCAGCTTCACGGCGCAGAACCTGGTGGCGAAGACGAAGGCGGAGCGCTTCGGCCTGGACCTGGTGGCCACCAACACCCTACGGGGGCGTGACCTGGGCATTCCCGGGTACATCTACTTTCTCAAGGGCTGCTTCGGCGTGGACGTCCGCCGGTGGGCCGATCTGGAGCGGTACATTCCCCGGGAGGTGGTGGAGCGGCTGCAGGAGATTTATGAGTAAGTGGTGGGGGAGGGTTTTTAAATTAGGGAATTTTCTTGACCATTTTTTTCCCACTTCTTTTAGGGACGTTCAAGACGTCGACCTCTTCATCGCCGGCATGGCGGAACGCCCCCTCAGCAGTGGTGGTGGTGGTGGTGGCTATGGCCACGGAAACGGAAGCGGCTCTCGCCTGGGCCCCACCTTTAGCTGCATCGTCGGTGGGCAGCTGTACGCGATGAAGTACGGCGACCGGTACTGGTACGAGCACGGCGGCCAGGCGGCCTCCTTTACCGGTGCTCAGCTTTCGAACATCCGCGCCACCGCCTCTCTAGCGGCCCTTCTTTGCCAAACTTCGGCGGTGGGCGCCATCCAGCCACGCCCCTTCTACCTGCCCGATTCTACTGGTAATCCGCTTCTGTCCTGTGATAGCTACCCGGAGTTGGACTACCGCCTGTGGCGGGAGGAGGAGGCGGTGGTGGTGGAGTACTGAGAAGAAGTGCTGGAGATTTGAGGAGTTTTGAGGAGAGTTTGGTCACTAGTAACAATAGTATCGACTTTTTTTATATCATCGGTCTCTTTGCTGTGGTAGGTGGGGAGATGGTGTTGGGTGGAATTGCACTGTGTTTGTCGGAAATTGAATTGCATGTGTTGGTTGTTGATTGCACAGAGAGTTTCGAAGTTGACCAGATTAGTCTGAAGGTGGTGGTGGCAGCTGACCAGAAAAGAATTCGAGAGGGGAAGCTGTGTGCTGTTCTGCCTGCTTGCTACTGAGAGAGAGCTGAGTAGAAGAGAGAGAATAAGTGGTAGTAGAGAGAGAGAAAGTATCAAAAGATAAAGTAAGAATAGAGAGAATATAGAGAAGGGTATTGGAGGGAAGGAGTGTGGTGAGAATATGTTGTGATAGTNATGTGTTGGTTGTTGATTGCACAGAGAGTTTCGAAGTTGACCAGATTAGTCTGAAGGTGGTGGTGGCAGCTGACCAGAAAAGAATTCGAGAGGGGAAGCTGTGTGCTGTTCTGCCTGCTTGCTACAGAGAGAGCTGAGTAGAAGAGAGAGAATAAGTGGTAGTAGAGAGAGAAAGTATCAAAAGATAAAGTAAGAATAGAGAGAATATAGAATATAGAGAAGAAGAAGAAGGGTATTGGAGGGAAGGAGTGTGGTGAGAATATGTTGTGATAGTAGAGAGAAAGAGAGAGTAGTAAAGGTAAACAGGTGGTGGTAGTAGTAGTAATAGTGATAACAGTAAGAAAGTGTTAAAAGAGTAATAGCAGTGGTAGCAAGAATTAGTAGAAGGTAAAGTCTATCACTGGAGAAGAGGGTATGATAAAAAGATGGTGATGAAGATGATGATCTTCAAAATAAAAATGCACTACGAGAAGGTTTNAGTAATAGCAGTGGTAGCGAGAATTAGTAGAAGGTAAAGTCTATCACTGGAGAAGAGGGTATGGTAAAAAGATGGTGATGATGCTTCAAAGTAATAAAATTACACTACGCGGTTTCTTTAGATGTCGGGAAAGCGACTCGGATCCTCGGTGTAGTCGGCGGGCACCTCAAAGAGCGCCTCCGGAATGTCCGTCTTGAAGGTGAAGTTGAGGAAGGTGACGCGGGCGAGCACCGCCGGGATGACGGGAATGTCTGCGAGAAAAAGGGGAGTGAAAAAGTTTTTGTTAGATTTTATTATAAAACTTCAACAACTTCGACTTACCAATCTTCACGGGAAAGCCCGGCGGCAGGTTCAGCCGCACAAACTCATTCAGCTTCTTGAAGTGCTTGAAGGGCGCCACTACCTCGAGGACGTTGAGCAGCGACTCGATGCTGAGGGNGTGACGCGGGCGAGCACCGCCGGGATGACGGGAATGTCTGCGAGAAAAAGGGGAGTGAAAAAGTTTTTGTTAGATTTTATTATAAAACTTCAACAACTTCGACTTACCAATCTTCACGGGAAAGCCCGGCGGCAGGTTCAGCCGCACAAACTCATTCAGCTTCTTGAAGTGCTTGAAAGGGGCCACTACCTCGAGGACGTTGAGCAGCGACTCGATGCTGAGGGGAAAGTCGCGGCTCATCGCCAGCGTCGCCTTGAAGGTCCGCGTCGAGGTTTTGCTCTTCAGGGGACGGGCCAGGCAGGGCGGATGGCCCCTAGGCGCCCTGATGTACGCCTGCCAGGTGATGGGCGTCGAGGGAGGGGCCGGCGGTGGGAGTGACCGTCGACGGCGAAAGGAATGAGAAGCAGTGCTCTCCAGTGCCTTGATCGAAGCGGAAGTGGGCGTGGAAGGCTCAGAAGTTTGTCCGCCGCTGTTGTTTTTAGACGACCGACTTTCTCGACCTGAAGGCTTGCTTTTGNGATGGCCCCTAGGCGCCCTGATGTACGCCTGCCAGGTGATGGGCGTCGAGGGAGGGGCCGGCGGGGGAAGTGATCGTCGACGGCGAAAGGAGTGCGAGACAGTGCTCTCCAGTGCCTTGATCGAAGCGGAAGTGGGCGTGGAAGGTTCGGAAGTTTGTCCTCCGCTGTTGCTCTTTTTAGACGACCGACTTTCTCGACCTGAAGGCTTGCTCTTTGATTGCTTTGATTGGGCTTCCTCTTCAAACTCGTCCTCATCTTCGTACTCGTCCTCATCTTCGTCCTCATCCTCGTCGTCCTCATCATCTTCAGCTGAACTTCCCTCGGTAAAACTTCCGCTCTCTTTTTTAGTTTTTGAAGAAGTGAGGGCAGCGCCCCCATTCGGAAGCTTCTTTTCCGACGACAAGGGAGGACTGGCAAGAACTGAGCTCCCGTTGAAGGGCTTCTTTGTGCTCTCTTTCTTTGAAGTAGAGGCTTTTTTAGTGGTACCCTGCTGCTTAGATGTCTGAGCCTTTGAGGCTGTCGTCTTCTCCGGCGTCTTCTGCGGAAACTTTTCCCCGTTGATGTTCACCAGTTCTCCCTCCTCCTCATCCTCATCCTCTTCAGCTCCGCCCGCCATCGCCGCCATGTCCAGCAGTTCGGTGGTGCTGGCACTGGGCGAGGTGCCACTTCCTCCATTACCTCCATTGCCTCCTTTGGGGTTGTCCATGGAGCGCTTCAGCGTCTCAATCAGCTGCCGATTCGACTGGACGTCCTCCTCGGAGAGGTGCTCCCGCCGCTTCCGCGACTCCATCACCAGCCCGTTGATGTTGTAGAAGTCGGCCTCGAACTGACCGACTTGTTCCTAATTAGAGGGGCAAAAAGGCACATAAAAATCGTAATTCAATGGCAATGATAAATAATACCTGAAACCTACCGTTCGATTGTAGCGACTGAACCACCAGCCCGCCTGCGCCCGCGTGAAGGTAATCGACTTGGTGCTCATCATCGGGTAGATGATGTCACTCGACATCAGTATGTCAATGTCCTCCTCAATGTCCGAGGAGTGGCCGCTGTACTTCACCGACTGGTAGACCTTCAGCTCGTTGTCCAGCACGGTCAATGCTTTACCTCCATGCCTTCCATCACTCTTCGCCTCGCCGTTGAAGATGAAGGTAATGTTGCCGCGTTGCCAGCTTCGGTCGCTGAAATCGACTAAAGTTGTATCTAAGCGAATGGAACTGCCTCGTTTCGAAAGGGTACAAGTGTCCGAGGGGAGGAAACGCTTGACGATGGGCACCCAGGAGTAAAATTCCCAGCGGAGGTCCATCGTAAAGTCGGGTATGCGGCTTAGGGCGTCGATCAGTTTTGGACGGCGGGACTGCATCGAGCGACGGGCCTGCTTCCGGCCGCTCTTCAGGATTCGGCGGACTGCGAAAAAAGAAAGTTTTAGTTTTAACAAAATTGATCTTCAAAAAACCNGCCTCGTTTGGAGAGGGTGCAAGTGTCCGAGGGGAGGAAGCGCTTGACGATGGGCACCCAGGAGTAAAATTCCCAGCGGAGGTCCATCGTAAAGTCGGGTATGCGGCTAAGGGCGTCGATCAGTTTTGGACGGCGGGACTGCATCGAGCGACGGGCCTGCTTCCGGCCGCTCTTCAGAATTCGGCGGACTGCAAAAAAAGGTTTAAGATAAGTTGAAAAATTTTAAGCAAAATTGACCCAAAAAAGACTTACTCATAGCTCGATCGCCGTAGCTGATGGCCTCATCGAGCGGCGTCCAGCCGGCGGCATTGCGCGACTTGATTGGAGCGTCGCGGCTCAGCAGCAGCTGTACGGTGTCTGGAAAATAAGAAAAATGAAAAGTTAAGTAAATAAAATGAAAAAGGGAGGTAAAAGAGAAGTTTTGAAAAGAGAGAGATTAGCATTGTTTCCCTCTCCCTTTTCTGGCTACTATTCCTTCCCTAGCTTTCACATTTTTGCTCTCATTTGAATTGCAAATTGAGCAAAAATAAGAAAAAGAAAGAAAAAAAAGTAAAAAGTACAAAGAAAACGTGACAGTCTGAGTCTAGCTAAACACTTTTCGAGAAAAAAGAGAAACAAAAATTATACAGGCGAAAAAAGTGCTCTGAGGCGCCTAAAATACCAAAAGGCAAAACTTACGCTTCTGGCCGGTCATAATGGCCAGGTGGAGGGGCGTGTTCCCGTGAACGTCCTTCACGGAGACTATCTCCGCCATCGGTTTGTTGGGCGCCCGACTCGCCCAGTCGTCGATCATATCGGCCAGGTCCTTGCTGGGCGTCCGCTCGAAGACCGCCCGGTGCAGGGCGAGGGACTCTCGCAGCTCAAAGTCCACGGTGAGGGCGAGGGCGATGCTGTTGTTAGAGGGTGATGTAGCGATCAGAGGGTGATGAGAATCGGTGGTAATGGTCGTGGTGTGGTGGTGATCACAGTCGGTTGTTGTTGTTGGTGTGGAATTGGTGGTGGAGGTGGTGGGGGTGACGGGATTTGAGTGCAGTCTTTGGTAGTTCAGCGATGAGGTATTGCTGCTGGAGTTCACGTCCGTCATCGCCTCCTCGGAGATGGCGTCGTGGAAGCAGTCCTCGGCGGGCGAGTCCTCTTCCGCTGAAGAGTTTGATGTTGCTGTTGCTGCTGCGGTTCCTCCTTCTCCTCCTTCGCCGCTCTCGCTGTTGTGGTTGTGCAGAGCCATCGAAGGAAGTTCGAGGAAGATGTCTGGTGCAAAGCTCAAAGTGGTGACGGTGATAAAAGCAAGGCTGTGCGTGCTTCTTAGGTAGGTGCAAAGGCTGGTCAGGCGCTGGGCTTCATGTTCGGCGTCGGCGGCGACGACGGCAGCTGCCAAAAGGAGACAAATCGTTAGAGACAAGTGTTTTCGAAAAAATGTGTCTTTGTCTGACTGACTAGCTGTGACAAACCTAATTAAAAAAGAAAGAAGGAGTCTTTTTCTGGAGAGAAGGAGTGTTTTGCGAAGCGTGGAGCGTCGACCGGCGGCGGCGGTGACGTACAAAACGGCGTCTTTGTCTCTCTTTTTTGAAGACAAAAAAACTCGGTTTGTTCTTTCTCTTTCTCGGAGATCGATTGAGAGCGACAGCAGCAGCGGCTGAACAGCTTTCTCTTCAGTGGAGTTGCAAAATACTTGTACTGTTTCTTTCTTCTTCTTCAGCTTCAGCACACGAGTTCTTTTTCAAGCAGGTGTTTTGCACACGTTAGCACACACTGACTGACTGAGTATGCAATTAACACACAAAACAGCTTTGGAAGTACTGCTTTCAACAGAACAGAACAAAACACAACAAACAGTTTTGTTCTTTTTCTTCTTTCTTGTTTGCTTGCTACTCTCCCGAACAGCAGAGCTTGGCTTGGCCTTCGGCGCCTTCTGCTGCTGGTGGTCTCTCGTTGCTGCCGGGATTGCTGTTGTTGCAAGCTGCAGTTGCAGTTGTTGCTAATTGGCGATTACTTCACCTAAATTGCTTCCCTTTCTTCTGGTGCTGTTGCTGGTGGTGATGGGCGGAGATGAGAGAGAGAAAGAGAATTCGAAAAAAGAAAAAGAGAACTTGCACAAAGCACCGGCGGGAATTCACACATCAAATGACTGGGGAATAGCTGAAGAAGAATCAGAAGAATCAGCGTCGAAGTAGATCGATTTGAGGAGAAGAAGAAGAAGAAGGAGAATTTAGCGGTAATAGCCGCTCTGCGTTCCAATTGGAACGCTGCTGCAAGTGATCTCTGAACCAGCTGAAAATCTCGTCCCAGCTTTGACAGCTGAGCCTGATTTCTTCTATTTTTTCCCACTTCTATTCATTTCCCAGTGTTCTTCCAATGTTATGACTCAGGCGACGCATGCGCCCGAGGCGGATCGTCTGGCGACCGATGCGATGGCCGGTCGCAGAGGACGAGACGCTGCTTTCGCTGTCGCCGCTGACGCGCGCGCCGAAGACACTGTTTTGTTTTGATTTTGTTGCGGATTCTCTTCGCCAAACTCGGTTCTATTTCTCGGGATTCCCGAGATTCTCCGAGTACTTTTTCCTGATAACTGACTACGAACTGCTCTTCCCGTGTTCCTTCATGTGACCAGGACCATTGTTCTGCTGCTGCTGCCTACTTTCACTGGTAAGTCTCTGTCCGTATAACGTTTAACGGCACTTTTCTTTTTT